CTGGTCTTCAGGTCCTGGTCTTATCCAGTCCTGGTCTTCAGGTCCTGGTCTTATCCAGTCCTGGTCTTCAGGTCCTGGTCTTATCCAGTCCTGGTCTTCAGGTCCTGGTCTTATCCAGTCCTGGTCTTTAGGTCCTAGTCTTCAGGTCCTGGTCTTATCCAGTCCTGGTCTTTAGGTCCTGGTCTTCAGGTCCTGGTCTTATCCAGTCCTGGTCTTCAGGTCCTGGTCTTATCCAGTCCTGGTCTTATCCAGTCCTGGTCTTCAGGTCCTGGTCTTATCCAGTCCTGGTCTTCATGTCCTGGTCTTCAGGTCCTGGTCTTATCCAGTCCTGGTCTTCAGGTCCTGGTCTTATCCAGTCCTGGTCTTCAGGTCCTGGTCTTATCCAGTCCTGGTCTTATCCAGTCTTGGTCTTCAGGTCCTGGTCTTCATGTCCTGGTCTTCAGGTCCTGGTCTTCAGGCCCTGGTCTTCATGTCCTGGTCTTATCCAGTCCTGGTCTTCAGGTCCTGGTCTTCATGTCCTGGTCTTCAGGTCCTGGTCTTCAGGCCCTGGTCTTCAGGTCCTGCAGGTTAGACCTGTTCCAGCACACCTGACTGAATCACCTCTTCAGGTTCTGCAGAGTCCTGTGGATCACTCGTTCATTTAATTCATGAGAGATGAAGCAGAGAGGATGGAGGGAGRCCCTCCAGGACCAGGACCAGGACCAGGACCAGGACYAGACCCCTGGTCTACCGTAAAGAAATGAATAATAAAATCCTGCAGGGGGCGCTGCTGAGGAACAACTCTTATTTTTATTATTGTAAAGAGTTTATTTGTTCAACAGTTTCTCTTCATGTTTTCTTCTGACTGATTTTCTTTGTTTTTAAACATTTTTTAAATATTTTTGATAAAAACAGGAAGTTTGACCCAAACTCGAGCCTTGTCTTTAAACGGAGCACGTGCTGTTTCATTAAGGAGCTCCTGACGCGCATGCGCCTCCGCGCTCCTGAGGCGGCTGTCTGCTGCGCGCCGCCGCGGCTCAGTGCGCACCGGGTAGCGCGAGCGCGCGGCTACGATGCGTTTCTCCGGCGGTCCGACTGAGAAGAGGCAGCATCAGAACCGAACCCGGAACGGCAGAAGCTCCGGTACCGCAGCAGGATGCCCGGCGGGAAGAGGGGGCTGGTGGCGCCGCAGAACACCTTCCTGGAGAACATCGTCCGGCGCTCGAGCGGTGAGTGGGTCCGAACAGAACCGGGGCTCGGCTCGGCTCGGCTCGGCTCGGGTTGGGTTCATGAACAAGGACTGGACTGGAACACCTCTGGGGAGTTTCCTCCAAGAGTTGAAGTCCTACATGGTTTTTGGACCAGAACAAACAAACAAACAAACAAACAAACAAACAAACAAACAAACAAACAAACAAACTGCAGGTCAACACCTGGAAGCCACCAGGTGATCAGGCAGAGGTCGGTTCTGGACCTGCTGGTATCGACCCGTCTGTTTTTGTTCCGACAAACAGTTTTTCTTTAAATAATGAATGTCAGAGTTCTAAGTTTGTTTTGTTGCTGATTGTTTGTGAAAAAGCTGCTGAGTCAGTGTTTAACCTGCAGCAGAAGGTTGTTTACTGTTTGTTTGTTTGTTTTCAGAGGGACACAAACAAACACTGAATGAATAAATAATAATATGGGTCAGTGTTTTAAAGCCCAGGTTCTGGTCCTGTGACAGGTCCAATCTGTAGTTCTGGTCCTGAAAGTCCACTTCCTGTCTTTCTCATTCCTCACCTTCATTTTAATAACCTTTSAGTTTACATGAACTAACTTTATAACCACTGAGAGTGAATCTCATTATATTAGATGTTTATCAGAGAACTGCAGCTTCATTTAAAGAATCTCTTCATCTTTATTCTCCTCTCTTACAGAATAATGTAACAGAACATTTAGCTGGTCTTCTTGATAATATTACAACTTTAATACAAACTTCTCTTGATGGAAATGTTCCACTAAAAAATAAAGTTATTGATCGGAGGAAGTCGACTCCTTGGTTTAATTCAGAGTTACTTTGTTTAAAACAGGCAGAAAACTGGAGAGAAAATGTCGCTCCACTAATTAAATTTAACCTGGAGAGACAGAGCTTTAAGGGATCCTGATTAGTTGTAACATTAGACTTTATTTAATAAACATTTATTTTAACTGTAAAATAAAGACTGTAAAAATACTGTAGGATGTTTAGTTTAAACTAAACTTTAGTTTAGTTTTTTCTTTGTCTCTTCCAGAAGAAGGTGCACCTGGACCAGTCCTGGACCAGTCCTGGACCAGTCCTGGACCAGTCCT